AACATCTGTGGACGAGATGTTTCTCAAAAAGAACCAAAGAACACAATTGGAACGAAGGAAACTAGGTCCATTGGTTTCTCACTTTTTCGTGCTCCTCCGGGTTCTGCGTGGCTGACTCTGAAAACTCTTTATAATTTCGAAAAGAGCCTCCTCGATTCGGACGAAACGGACGAAGTCGAACGTAGTAACTACGTGCAAATTTCGACGAGAAGGTCTTCTAATTCGAGTGAAGACAAAGAGAGCAGATGCGAAACGAAGCTGTGATTCTGATCTCTTCTGAAAGAAGCTGCTAATTCCTGCTCTGAGATCTTTTAAAAAATATCAAATTTGTCGACTACAAACTTCTAAATAAGAGTCTATCGAATAGATTGAAAGAGATCGAAACGATGGGAAGAAAGATCAGTGGTTTTTCACTTTTGCGCAGCTTTCTCGATGACTCGGTCACGATTCTATGCAAATTTCGACGAGAAAGTTAACTCTGCGAGTGAAAGAGGACGAAGACAAAGCGATTAGACACGGTGACTTGCGATAGAACGGTTTGGGAATGTTTACAACACTGTAGGTCTCTGCTGCTTTTCATTTTGAGAGAAGCTCGCTTGACTCTTATTCCGGCATGTTTTGAAAAAGACTTTCGAAGAATTTAATTAAATTCAGAGTAAAGAGACTGGGACGCCGAGCAATCGGAACGAAGGGAGTTGCATCTATTGGTCTCTCGAATTCTGTGTAGTTAGCTTTGGCAAAAGGCTACCCTCTTAGTAGTGTTGGAAAAAAGCTTTCTCCATGAGTGAAACAGTAACTCGACATCGACCATGTACAAGTAGTGAAAGTTACAATTTATAAGCGAAAGAAGACAGGAACGAATATTTCTGAGTTTTTCTTTGACTTTAAAAGAAACTCGAGAAACGAAATGATTAAAAAAAAAAAAAAAAAAAAAAAATTGGATCTATCGATACTATCTTTATAGATGAGAGGAACCAAAGACAGAGCAATCTAGCATTTTTTTTTTTTTTTTTTTTT